TGTGTGGCTTGTGTAGCAGCTGACTGAAACAGTCATTATATTATGTAAAGGCAGTCGGCGGCGGCAGTGGCCGGGAGGAGGAGGAGGGGGGAGGAAGAAGGGGGGGAGGTGGTGTGGGGTGCCAGTTACTGACGCGCAGCGCAAGGCCGACCCTGATTGGCTCATCAACGCCATTCTCAGCGGCGCTCTCTGGCTCATTAAAGGTGGAGGCTCGGCCGAGAGGTTGCAGGAGCCGCTTGTGTTTCTCTCTCAGCAAATGGAGGCGACGACTGGGCTCTGCAGCTGCGTCACAAATTAATTAGAGGAGAAGAAGAGGAGGAAGAAGTGGCGGGGAGGGCCGTATTGTGCGATCATTAAGACTCCTCCCTGTATTAAAGAGGCTGCTGTAGATGTGAGGAGGATAACAGAGACGTTAGAGGAGCGCAGAATGAGCAGATTAGAGCGGTGGCAGCCACGGCACCACGATACAATAGATGAGGGGAAACGATAGAACGACACCAGCAGGAATAATCTGCTAATAGGGAGCTGATTAAGCGATAACGGGGCCAATTAAATCTCCGCCTGAATTACAGTCACCGACACTCCCAGCAAATGTGACATTTTTTGCCAAATTCAGCGTTGGCCCAGGTGTTTGCAACGCCGTGGCACAGTGCTGGAAACCAAAGCGTCCATTTGCATGTTGTCTGGCCACACACATGATGAGACCGTCTGTCATGATGGAGAAGGAGACGCCTGCAGATTTAGTGGTTCACACCTAGAAAAAAACGACATTGGTTCCAATCACTGGTACACGGCTGGTGTGTGTTGCCCTTAAAACCCAGTCTGTCTATTCTGTAGAGTATTCCGATTTTCACTATTGAAATATGAATTTCTGAATAAGTGCTCAGTAAAAGTTTGGTGTGTAATGTAACGCTGTGGGCCTGGGTTTCACTGTGGCCTTGATGTGAACATTTCCTTGTAGCACATCTTCCTTGGTTCAAAGTCCCAACCCAGTGGGGCGACAGTACTCTGCACTGGAGCAATGTTCAATGCAACCACCAGCTATTATAGTAAGCACAGCCTCCATCACGCAAGAACTACTACATCAACTTTATTTGAGGCAAGACAAATCTCTTGGCTCAACATTGACATGAGTGGTTTTTGGAAATACTTAATGATAAACAATATTTATGCCATTTTAATGTCGTTATATGGCACTGTAATGATAAGCATAATAATTCAAGGGCAATTCATAAGAATATTCAGACATTGGAATGTGAAAAAATATTAAAATAGGCTTTACAGTTATTCATTCCTTAACAGGCACTATAGTAATGGAAGGGACACCCTGCTGATTTTTCTGACATCATGTTGGCTAAAATGTTGGTGTCATTATTAAACAATACGTAATTATTATGATAGATTAAATTAGTGCAGTGGTTTACAACCTTTTTACTTTTTCTATCATTCAGTAAACTGATGACTCCTGATTATGCAACATGTTTTATACATTTTTTATATTATGTTCAAACTATACAATGAACCCAAACAGTGAACTCAGTAACTGCAGGAAGTGTGTGTGTAAAATCAGGGATAATAGGCTTCTTTTTTGACAAATTCAGTGTTTTCTTGTCCTTTGGCAGTATCATGGCTTTGCCATTGTTTGTCCTTAACAAAATGCTTTCATTTACTTTTCTTCGCAGAAGTGGACCAAATGCTAATATAAAGGCCTACTGTGCATATTTTTACCTTTTCAAGCATGCCTTAAAATCAAGAAGGCCTCACAACCCCCCATGAAGCTTTGGTGATCCCTGGGGGGGTAGCATCTGCTATAAACACTATGATACTACAGATTGCTGTTTTCAGCCTGTCCATGTTTACTGTGTCTGTTCCTATTGTGTTGGTGTATATGTTATCTGATATGCACTGATATGAAAACAGTTTTTCCCAGTATATAATGCAGAAAATGTCCATTTACTCAGCAGACTGCACTGTGATTTACAATACTGTGGCAAGCAGCACAGAGTAAGGCCTGAATTATATTTCCGCGTTGCACTGATGCGTGTACAGCGTAGCTTAGGGCTGTTATGGTAAAGGAATTTAGCCTTCAGTGATTTAAGGTGGGTCAACAGTGCAGTATAACTGCCTTTCTTTTTTCTCTTATTACTTTGTAAGAGGTACAGTGGGACAATGTTTATTCTCAGTACCTGCTTGTACTGATCACCTGCACTCTGCCTGCTCCTGCCTCCTGTGTCCGTTAGTTAACATGTCTAGCTGAAAGTTGCTAGTTAACAGGCTTACTCATAAAACTAATGGGTAAAATTAGAGGAGCAGTCAGCTCAGACTGCTGGTGTTTCCAGAGCGAGTGAGGTGGAGATGATGTGACTATCTCCTGAGAGGTACTGTAATCCTGGACTGTGGACTGAGGGATACTGAGTAGCATTGCAATTCAGACAGCCCCTACTCTGTGTCGAGACTCTTCAGCCTCGGGATGTTTTTCCGTCACTAAAAAAACACTAAAGATGATGTGATGTCGATGTCAGTAGCGTGGTATTCCATTATTAAACAAATTGCGACTGCTGTAGTGTAGCCTACGCCTGACGTGCACCTCACCAAAAAGTTAACTACACGTCGAAGCGACAACTGTGATTGTGTTTGTGCATTGTCTGAGAAAGGGAGACGACTCATGCAAAACCCAGATTAGTTAATAATGCTGTTTGACAATCCCTTTTTTCAAATTTACAGTGTATCCTGGGACGATGCCTTGATGTAGAGCTTATGTACAACTATAAATCCACCATAAAGTTGGATGTCAATGTATATGTTAAATTATTTAACACGATAAAGAATATTTAACTTAAATCAGGGGTCCCAAACTGCTGGCCCGGGGCCATTTTAGACCCTCCACCCCCTCCTGCCCACAACATGATGTCAAAAATATAATATTATCCGGCCTGCAAGATTATTATTTTAATTCCTTTTTTCTAGTTGTTTCATGTCAGCTTAAACTAATACAATTAAAAACAATTCTATTTTAGGGATTGGTTGCACCTGGTGCAAAATAATAGCAAAGGTCAAAGGTTCCCACTAATGCTGAGCAGGTTTTGGGGCTTTTAATGACAAAAAAATGTGAAGAGACATATGATGTTTATTATTTGAGGACTAACGGCTTTCTTGTAGTACTTGAACATTGAAGAGATGAGATGAAGATATCAGCAGTGGCCCCAAGACAATTTGAGTTTTTTAATAAAGTTATTTGTTTTTTGAAAGCAGTCTTCTGAGTACCTTTGCAGAGTCATATCAGTGCAAAAGTGGTACACAATCCACATAGAACAGGCCCACTGTATCTGTGAATGTTTCCCCTCTCTACAATCTGTATCGGACTCAACAATGCTATACTGGTCGAGCCCCAGTGAGATTTAATGTTGCACAAAACAGTGCTAGTAGCTGAACAATAACCATAAAGCAATAACTGCAGAACCCAGCCATCAGCACTAATGAGAGACTGCCAGATGAGACCCTCTTCCAGCCAGAGGTTAGTTACTTTTCATACATTGTACAGACCACTTGCGGAGGCCTACAATCTGCAGCGAGAGTTTAAGAAAGTCATGGATTTAAAGTAGGCCTGCAGGAAGTCTACGGCTAGCGTTTCTGCTTTGTCATTTCCCCGTCCAGCTTGTGCTCCGCTGCAGCTTCTTGATTGGCTCGCGGCTCTGTCTGCGCCGTGCTAAAGCTGGTCACATGACCAAGCTAATGTGCTCATAAGACTTGAATTGTTGTTGTCCTTACAAAAGTCTTCTCTGCGTGTGTGAATCACATGGTAACACATACACACACACACACACTCTCAAAGGCATCAAACATTTCTCAAATGTATTTGTCACGTCAAGCACAGAGATCCAGGCTATTCTTAGCCCGCTGCATTTAACCCACTTCCATCTGAATGAGCTTACCATCAGCTGCTCATATTGTCTGATTATTTATTTATCCCTGTTGCATCCTGGCATCTCACTGCTCCCATTCTCAGGTCACTGGGGTCATATTGGTTAGTTAAAAATCTTCATTTGACTCAGCTGCTGTCAGATATGGAACGCTCCCCACTCTTGTTTGCCATGCTAGCAGACGGACAACAGTGTTGGTCGATCTGTCTGGATTTCATGGTCTGTAGAGGATGAGTCTTAAGGATTTTGGTCGTCCCCCCCGCGCCCCCAATCTAGCACAGCCTCTGGTAGTGCCGTATACTTTGATGCATTGACTCGGAGGGGGAGGGGTAGACTTCAGTATTTTCATTGAGTAATCTATCATGAGTGTGGTTCCTCTTATCTATAGATATTTTTGTTTTTATAAATATTCAGTGTTGTTACTGATGGTTTTTCTAGAATATACCTTTCCTGTGATTATGAGAAATGTATTATGCGCTCCTCCGCACAGTTACAGGCCAGTTCAGCTCACCTGCAGAGCACGTTATACTCCTACAACAGCAACAAAAGTCCCATGTTTTACCTCACATTTTAATATTAAAGTAAAATATGTGCATCCTGCTCGTCCTGATTGGCCGCTGACAGCTCTATTAGCTGAAGAGCCACTCCCACTGAGCAGTAGAGGAGGTTGTTAAGTCATTTACACCTGGAATCTGGATCTTAAAAGGCATTTCTGATTCAGTACACCAGTGCCTTAAGCTACAGATAAAAGTGTCTTTGGGTGTTTGATAGGGGTGTAAGAAAATATTTAAAAAAAAATCGTATTGCAATATTTTGTTTTGTGATATTGTAGTGATTCTCAAAAACCCTACAGATGTTTGTTTAAACCCCAAACTGCCAGTTAGCTGTGTTGTAAACATAAAATGTTGGATGCAGTTCACCTTGTTCACAGTATTGCAATATACTAAATTGTAACCCCTGTATCGTGATACTTATCGCCAGATTCTTGCCATTTCACAGCCCTAGTGTTTGATCGAAATCCAGTTTGAGATCCTTGCTGTGGCCCTGCTAACCCCTCTGTCCCCCTCCTCTCTTTCTCAGGATGGAGCGGATGTCTGAGGAGGCGCTGAGGCTCAACCTGCTGAAGCGAGGCCTGGAGTCATCCAGCGAGCGAGAGGAGGCACTGGCCAAGCGCCTCAAAATGGAGGGCCACGAGGCCATGGAGCGCCTCAAGATGCTGGCGCTACTGAAACGCAAGGACCTAGCCGACCTGGCAGCCCTGGAGGTGGCAGGGCCACTGGGAGATGGGAAGGGCCCCGGGGCCAGCACCCTCCACCACCAGAGCCTAATGGGCGCCGCTTATGAGGAGAAGCTGAATGGGAGTCTGAGGCTGGGAGGCCACGGTGGCCACGTTGGACCCAGCAAGAATGGGAAGGAGAACATGCTGGATGAGCCGGTGGATATGAGCGCTGGGAGAAGATGGTGAGGATACAGTGTTCACACATAAGGACCACAGCGCTCTAATAAAAGTCCCTATACCAGAGAGGAAAGAATCCAGAACCCATGGATTATATGTGGGATGGGAGGTTAATCAGGGTTAGAATTCCTCTTTGGGAAAAGTTAAAATTCAGTTATCTTGACATTATATCTATGTAGGTAATTAGTCAAAGGACAATCTGTTATCAGATGACAAAATGTACAGATAAGGGTGCAATGGAACACAAAACAAAACTCGTTTTTGAGGTTTTTAGTCACAGTTTGGATAATTTTTAGCCGCCTCTCTCGGTCTGTAGTCTCACTCAGGGTCCTACCCACATCTGATTGGTTACACGAGTGTTAGCCCATCAACGCTGAGGGCTGCTGTGCCACAGACAGGCAGAGACTTGAGCTGCTCCGGTGAGTGAGCAGAGCTGTGTGTCGAAGGGAAGGCAGCACATATTAATGAAGTTGCAAAACGCATCAATCAATCTTATGATCTGTTTCTATGATGACAACCATGCCCAGTTTCCCAGTTACAACAGTGAAAACGCCCAAAGTGACAGCCTACAGGATTTAACTTAATGGAGAAAGCAAGGCATGTCAGTCTCTTCCCTATAACCCTGTCACCAGTGTTGGGCAGTAAGGCATTGTTAGTGATAATATTACAGTAATATTATTACTTTCCCCAGTAACTTGTAGTGTAACTAATTACTAATGAATGTCACAAAAATAATTTACACCCCGGGTTATAGTCTTAGCTTTGTGGGGGGCTATAAAAGGCTAACGTTGGGGGCAGAGATAAATAAATAACGCGGGGCACGCTCTGTGAGAGAGATTACGTGGTCTTCGATATAATCAATATCATTGGATAATCATGAAAATATACTTCATTCTCCAAAAGGACACTAAAACTACCAATACTGTGATCACTTTACCTAACATATTGCATCACAGATAGGCACCCCATCACAGATCAACTGCGTTCTGTTACATCACTATCTAAAGATGTGTATCTATCTAAAGATGTGTATCTTCAGATAGTTTTGTGTCTTAGGCCAAATTACTAAAGATACCAGTCCCAGTAGAATAAAATAGCTTGCTACCAAAAATACAGTAGGCTATATTGTGTAAAAAGCAGAAGTGTCCAACAGTGTGCCACAGAGTGCCAGCAGTCTATAGGTTTTCATTCAACAGGCCATTTTCCCAGCAGACCTTTGGACCTGTTATTGTAGGAAAAGCACAGGTGTTACTAATAACATTAACAATGTTCTACTCAGAGCCACTATGGTGTGACGGTGAGCCAGCGAACAATAACAGCTCCCTGAAAATGAATTCAGCCGTCATTCGTTAGATTATTTCCACCTGTGCTGTCCTACTGTCGTGTCATGTCAACGTGCGCTCTGTGAAAAAGGCCTATTGATCAGCTCAGCAGCTGATTCACACAGTCCCTCTCTACCTGAAAGAGGACTAACCAGTGGGTGGAGCCTTTGGTCGGGATGAAATCCCGCAGACTGCTGCTCTCGTTGGCACGCTGGGTCCTGGTTTTTTGTGGCTGGGCCACGAGTAGCTTCCTGACAGTTTGCCGTTTTACTGTCCTTGAAAGTCACTTCACCTGTCTGCCTGGTGTTTCTGTCCCCAACTAAGGACCTCTGTGTGTATCTGGATCACAATAACCACCATACTGCAGCAAAGTAACCAGACACACCTATACACAGACTAGTCAGTTATAACTCAGTTTGCAGTGGTTTGCTGTTTCCTTCTCGAAGTATTCATCCGTGGAATTTGTGGAGGCTCAGTGATAGACCTTTTCCACAGCATTTTGACATGAAATAGTCGGGTAACAATATACTCATCAATAATTATTGACCATTAATAATGACCCATAAAATATTTCACACGTGGCTGGTGACTGTTTACAGCTCTGCACTGCATTAGCTTGAGCTAACATTAGCTTCAAAGTCCGAATGAGTTACTGCACAGCCCTGAATCATGTTCACTGTCCTCCAGCTGTTGGTCACTTGATGACATCTACCAAACTAGCGCCTGACTAGCCGTCTGACAGTGATGTGAGGCAGTGAGTGAGATTGTTTAACCATGAGACAGACAGCAAAGCCACACAGTCAACTTGCTATCCTTACTTACATCATAATGATAAAGAATGGTTCTTCTTTCTTGACAAAGCTACCTTTGGCTGGGCCTAAACAGTAGCGACACAGATGTGCACAGGGCTTATTAACCAGACAGCAGCCGAGAGTTTGTAATTCACAGACAGTAACTGGCCAGGACTGCAGGCCTAAAACTTTTACCTGTCACAGCTTGGTAAGACCACAGGCTATAATCAAAATCACAGCTCTGTGATTTGATCATTTCACTCTTTGAAATCAAAATGAATGGTTCATCGTGTTACTGTTACTTTGAAAACCTGATCTAAAATGTATATTTTTGCTATCAAAAACGATAATAGTGTTGTTTGGATACAGAGTTGTGGGGCAGGTCATTGCACAGCAGAGGATTCGGTGATGTGTCTCTAAAATGCATTTTATTTCATGATTTAAAAGCCATTCAGCTGTGAGTATAATTAATGATAAATGTAATGATAGTGTAACAATTTTACCAATTACTATAACTGATAATTCCATCATCTAGGTAATGTGGTTGAGGTGGGAAAGAATCAGGTGAACTTCTCTGCACTCTGAGGGTTTGGGATTGTGGTGGTGAGCCAACAGCTTGCTCTCAATAGTTCAGTAATAGTTCAATAATAAGTCACAGGCATAAATGTTTCAGATTTGGGTTGGTTTTAAAATGGAGAGGTGCTTATGGCCTAACCAGGTGGTTTGTTACACAGAACATGCACTCTGAAAGTTATTGAATGAACCATCTGTCTGTCAGCATCTATCACAGGCAGACTTTAACCAATGATGCTAGCAGCAGCAACAAACAATGTCTACTCACTGCGTCACAACCCTGTAGCTGCCAGTTCTTCCTCAATGGACGCTGATTGGTCCACTACCACCATAGTTTGGCCTTAAACACATAGACTGAAGCCTGGCAAGATGCAAAATGTTGGTATGCATGGGTCAAAGGTTCCGTACTTTGTCCCATTTATAAATCCCAACTTTTCCATGGGAAGGGGTGTATGCATCTTTCAAGCCCTGATTTGTGTGTATGCAGTGGTTATAAGGGAGGCCCCTAGTATCTTTGGAAAGTTTGTGATCTCTGATAGAATTTTAAAAATAAGTTCTGTTGTTTTGACCACTGTTGCTGGGCTGCACAGCATCAGTTTACAATGGCCAGTGGGATTTAATGGGTTACTTTGCTGAAATATTAAGAACGGCTCAAAAAGTAAAAGTGGAGGCCACGGTGCTCCTCACATCCAACTCTACCAAGTGGTTTAAACTTCCTGACAAACTGAGCAAATTGCTAAATAGCTCTAGAATCATCCTCAAAGCTTCATGTCCAGCTCAATTTTAAAGAGAGTGCAAATTCGATTATGATTTTAGTTTTTTCCTGTTTTGCCAATGCAGTGAGGCAGACCATGACAGACGGACTCCGTCTCCAGACGTCATCATCCTGTCAGACAATGAGGCGTCCAGTCCCAGAACGACACCTCGCCCCGAGGAACGCCTGCACCAGGCCAACCTGGACATGTTCAAGGTAAAACCATCAACAGCAGTCACTTTACCTCTGCACAGCTTGTAGGAGAATGTATTGTACGACTGTTTTCAACCTGAATAACATGTCACGGCTGTCAGACTTCACGTCTCTATTATGGTCCTGGATTAATCAACATAAATAATGCACAAGCAAGACTTCAAAGCAATAGCTGTCCATGGAAAATCATAGATGATGAAAGAAATCAAAGAAAATACTTGTAGGGACTCAGAAGAGCAGTAGTAGTAGAAGTAGAAATACAGTACATCAGACATGTTAAAGGTCCAGTGTGTAACATTTAGGAGGATCTATTGTCAGAAATGGAATATAATATTCATAGGTATGTTTTCATTAGTGTATTATCAGCTGAATATAGAAATTGTTGTGTTTTTGCTACCTTAGAATGAGCTGTTTCTACACCCTGGTGTCATTCCCAGGTTGTCATATACAGACGCGAGCTGTGTTCAGTTGGTTGCAATCTTCACTTCACTGCTAGATACCACTTTATCCTACACCCTGGTCCTTTTTAAGGGTAGGGATACCAGTACCGATACCAGCATTGGGCCCGATGCTCATGTCCTCGTAAATCATAAAACTACTCTGACACAGAACTCAACGACACTTTATGACAGTACTCATATCAGTACTCTCTATCAGCGGGTACCCAAATGAAAGAACTTGTACCTGTATTTGGTCTGTAAAAAAAGTGGTATCAATGCATCCCTAGTTGATGGAAAGAATAAATACCTCATTCTAACCCTAACTAATGAAATGCATCAAACATTAGCATTCAAGACAGTCCAAATATGGAAAATGGTAAATGTACTTGTATAGTGCCTTTCGACCACTCAAAGCTCTTTTACACAACGTGCCACATTCACCCTTTCACACACATTCACTCAGTGATGGCAAAGTCCATCAAACAGAAACTAACATTCATACACATTCATACACCGATGCACGGCATCGGGAGCAATTTGGGGTTCAGTATCTTGCTCAAGGATACTTCGACATGTGGCACCAGATCGAACCCACAACCTTCCAATTTAGGAACGACCCGCTCTGCCTCTGAGCCACAGCAGGCCCTGTATATAACTCGTCCTTTAGGTAATCGCTACCCACAGAGCTTCTTTGACTTTATTTAAAGGTGTGTTTAGGCAGGCTAAAAGGTGTATAATAAGTTGCCTTAAATTTGCTGTGTGTGTGTGTGTGTGTGTGTGTGTGTGTGTGTGTGTGTGTGTGTGTGTGTGTGTGTGTGTGTGTGTGTGTGTGTGTTGTTTGTGTGTGTGTGTGTGTGTTCGTGTTGTGTTCGTGTTCCAGGGGAAGACAGGAGAGGAGAGGCAGCAGATGATCAAAGCCCTGAGAGAGGAGCTGCGTCTGGAGGAGGCTCGCCTGGTGCTGCTCAAGAAGCTCCGACAGAGTCAGATGCAGAAGGAGAACGTGGTGCAGAAGGTCAGTGCTGCTGCTACTGACGCTGCTGAACACATCAGTAGAGCCCTCTCTGCCTGCTTTAACTTTACCTGAGTATTCCTACTTAATGCTACTTTATATTTCTACTCCACTGCATTTCAGATTCAGGTTCAGTATTAAATGTGCTAAATATGTAAAGCCATTGGTTTGTTCTTTCAGATTAGATGGTTACTGTAATATGATATGTGATATGGAGTAAAACAGGTGTTACAGATACACGTTAGTATCACAGAAACCTGAGATGTTAGTTCCATTGCTCTGTTAATTCTGTGTTGACGGTTGCATTCAGGTCCCAGTGGTCCAGAACGCCTCATCCTCTGTGCAGCCTCCTCCCATCCACAGCTCTCCTGGCCTGGGGAAGCTGCCTGTGAGGCCGGGCCTGCACAACCCTGAGCCCCAGAACCTCCGCACTGCACAGGTAACCATTTCAATTCAGTTTTATTTGTGTAGTGCCAATTCATAACAAAAGTTATCTCAGGACACTCTACACCTCCAGAGCGAGCAAGCCAACGCTCCTATCTGCTTCACAGATGGCGAAGTATAAGTTTGGTCTATTAAACATCAGAAAATGGTGAAAAATGTTGAAACCATAATATGTTCACATTGCTGAAGCAGAATTTTGGACATTTTTCATAAAAAAAAAAAGAAACTACTCAAAACAATTCATCGATTATCAAAATAGTTGGCGATTGAAGTAGGTAAATGTACTGCAGCTTTCATTTATTATTGCCAACTAATCCATTTACCGTTGTAGCACCAGAAATCAGCTGATGTAACAGATAATCACCTGGCTTCACAGTGTATCACAACAATATGAGTGAATCAGGTGGGGAAACTTAGCTCACTCTCAAATTAAAGGATCACTTCACCAGTTGTACTGACAGGTCAGTTTACTGCTCATGGTTAGTACAGCTCGGAAGAAGCAGTTGTATAATATAATGTCCAGTGTTGAGTTGTGTTTGGCATTTACCAGGCAGGGATGATCTAAGGAAAAGATGCTATCCCATTATATTGTGGGAAATGTAGGATCTGTTGTTTTTGTAGCTCGACCCATACTAGGAAGTAAGAGTAACAGATTTTTGCTATTCTTTTCTGTCTCTTGAAAAGAGAGTCCTCTAACTTCATTGAAATGCTACTCTAAATCACTGGAGGTCTGCTTTCATCCTTGCGAGGCAGCTGGGCTCACAAGATCATGAGAGAATTCATCCTGCCAGGCTTTAAGCTATGTGCTTGGGTCCAACCACAGTGGTTCGGGACCAATCAGCGTCCTTGGGGGAACTACTGGCAACCACGACGTGAGCTACAGGCGTGGTTTAAAGTTAGGTGTGTGTGTGTTGACCTATGATGAAGCTCAATGGTGACTGCTATAGAGGTTAGCTTAGATGCTGGTAGCATCAGTTATATCAGAAATGGAGAGTATTTGTGGTTTTCTCTCTCCTCCCGACTGGCTTCAGTAAGAGTTTGACTACGTTATATGGTTAATTGTTCTGCAGTCAAGTTAGAATCCTTTAACAGGATAGAAAGTGCTTGTCCAAGCTTGGTTTTGGGAGAGGGAAAGGTTTTTGTCAGCCTCTAGACTCTTTAATTTAAATTTGACTGTGCTTAGTCTTGGGTTTGACTTACGTGGTCTTAACTACACCCCTGGAATTCCATTTGGAGGAATCCCAACAAACAATTCAGCACTGATGCATTTTTCAGAGGTGAACATTATCAATCTCTAGCCTCAGGTTCTCCAAAGGTGTCATCATCCCACATATTTCCTCACGCCCTCTATGAGTGTGTAGAGCCAGAGGTCTGCTATGTGAGCTCGGGGTAAAAGTTCAGGTTAAATTAGGATGAAGAGATGAATGATTGCTGTGGATTGACAGTTGGACTGGGTTTAGTTTAGAGAAGGAATGTGTTGGTGGAAGGTCCTGCTCTGATTGCGAGACAGCCTCCTGCTGGAAGCCTTTTGTTCTTGCATGACGTAGCCCTGCTCCTCCATTACATGTAGAGATTGTATTAAATATTCAGCAGATCTCTGTGGTTATGGATGGCTCTGCGTGTGTCTTTGTGTGTGTGTGCTAGATTGTCTTTATCAGCTTGTTTTGTATGGATGGTACTGTTCCACCTCACCATGCAGCTGCTGCCCTCTACTGCCCACACTGTGAATAATATCTGTCTTAACACTTGCACACACTTTAATATGGATGCTCACTAATCCTGGCGTGCTAATGCAACAACCCTGCAATGAGGTTCTTATAAATTGCATTATTATTACCGTTGTTATATTATTTCTAAAACATATCTCTTGCTAAATTGTATTGTCATACTGATAGGCGTTTCTAATAATTTGTTCATGTAATTTATATCAGTGATTAAAGTCTAAATATTCGAGACACCTCTCTAAAACAAAGAACTGAACATTAGAACTAATGCAGGACTGTCTGATCAGACATTGATCAGATTTTTAGCTATGTGGACCTGATAAACTGGACACTAAGTGTACACACAGTATCATTTTTGCTTCATTAAAAATTCTAGAATTGATGAATATGCAAATTTGGTTAATTTCATCAGAAACAAACACAACCTGAGGGCTGGAATGTTGGATGTTACAGCGACTGTGATAAATACAAATGCAAATCGCACTGTTCTGGTAGCATAAAAAAGATTTTATGCATATGGTGTGTTCTTCATACTATGACTATGATTGTATGAATTTGATTTTTTTCATTGCCAAAATTGCAATGTATTGCCTTGCTTACAGTATCACAATATATTGAATCATAATAACCCTGATTGTATCAGATATATCGTATTGCCAGATTCTTGCCATTACACCTATGTATTAGAGCGCAAAATAACTTTTTTTTTATTGACTGATTAACATTGATTAACAAGTCAGTCCTCAAACTGTTCGCTTGAAGAACATAATAAGCCGAATGAGGATTAACAGGTCCTTTTTAGCCTGATAACTAATCCAGGCTAACATGTTGTTAAGCCACATCTGAAGAACAGCCCTGGTAGCCGAACACACTGAGATGACGCATCACTCTGTTGGTGCTGTTGGACCGTAAAAACCAAAGTCCACTAACCACTGTCCATAAGCAGTCTCGCCAATTAGATGGGAAGCCTCCAAAGTCCTGGGATTTCTTTTTACCATGGGCACACAAGATAACAGCCAAGTGTCATCAAGTTACTTACCAAATCCACATTAATTAGCTACAGCTGACAGAATGAATATATATACAGTAATAGCACTGCTGCACTGTCACCCCACCACCTACTTGTTTGTTTTTTTTCCCCTTCTGCAGGGTCACACAGTCATCAGGTCAGCAGCCAATGCCAACCTGCCGCCAATGCTGATGTCCCAGCGAGTGATAGCCCCTAACCCTGCCCAGCTGCAGGGCCAGAGGCTCTCCTCCAAGCCCGGAATGTCTCGCTCCAGCTCCAGCAGCATGGCCAATGCCGTCAGCTACCAACAGGTACGGATTCATACCACGCCTGGCTATCCGCTCCCGGCTCTGCTCTGTATTTAGTAATGTGTCACACAGTGTTACTCTCTGTATGTGTGCAACAGAAACGGCTTATTTAGAGATGATTGTGATTTTAATTGAACAAAAATAAGTAAGAGCTGCATGAGTGGGAGAGAGCAGAACATCCAGCTGAGCTCACCAGAATGAAACAGGTACTGCATCACAGAAGTAAGAAAACCTCTTGTAGAATCACATTGTACCAACATAAATTACTAAATAAATGATTAATAAGTAGTGTTTCTTTCTTGTAACAGCATGTAACACCATTTCCCTAAAGATTTCCCATTAGAGGTTCTCCGTGTGTTGACAGTTCTGGACCTGATGAGGAACACTGTCAAGACTTAACGGTGCCAGACAAAAGCCAGAGCATTCCTGCGAGCTATCAGTACAGTGTGCTGATGTTTTGTTTGACATCAGACATCACTTAATTAATTCTCAAAAAGGGAAGACTCTACCCAAAAAGGGATCTGTCCAGATAGACCTGTATCATACTGTAAGCAAGGCAATATATTGAAAACTGTTGAAGTATAAACAACACATCACCTTATGGATAAAATCTGCGTAAAAGAACAACATACTTTTTATGCAAACAGAACAGTGGCATCTGCCTCTGTATTTATCACAGTCCCTGTAACATTCAACATCATAGCCCTCTGTCTTATGCACTACTGTCAGAACGCACTGAAGATTTCAGCAATAAAGACAAAAAAGTTATTTTTATAGCCGTTTTTTATAAACCGCTTTAAACACAAAAATCTATACAATGTTTTTGAGAATTAATACAATAACACAAAACACAGACATAGGACCGGGTCTCAGTTAATGGGCTTGTGAAAACCTCTATCCCACCAGACCATTGTGACACTAAAAAATGAACTGTGATGAAGAACTGATTCATATGCAAACACATACAGTAGCTCAGGAAATTAGTAGCAACTTTTCTCATGACTTGACTTTGATGCAAGCTAATTATTATTATTAATTTTTTTTTTACGTTTTTATATTTTTGTTTATGTGACAGCAGTGTTCAAACCTTAAAAATGTGACTTTTAATAATTTGCTAACCAATAGTTAAATGTGTGTCTTCCTGCAGGCCAGCCAGCAGGTGGCAGCTTCCCAGCGCTCAGGCTCCAGTGCCATGTACATGAACCTGGCCCACATGCAGGCAGCGGCGGCGGCAGGGGCCCAGGGTGGCCTGGGCGGTGCTTCGGCCGTCAGCCCATCCACCATGTCCGGCTCGGCCAGCGGAGGGGTGAGCTCCATGGCTGACCAGGCCAGCAGCCAGGCAGCGGCCAAGCTGGCCCTGAGGAAGCAGCTGGAGAAAACCCTGCTGGAGATCCCTCCACCCAAACCCCCTGCCCCGCTCCTTCACTTCCTGCCCTCTGCCGCCAACAGTGAGTTCATCTACATGGTGGGCTTGGAGGAGGTGGTGCAGAGCGTGCTCGACAGTCAGGGTAAGCACCAACATCACTGTCTCACAATTCAGATCGATCTCTTATAGTCTGAACTTAAAGCTTGTGAGGTCAAACTGATGGATACAGTAAGCACAGGTATATAAAAGGTAATTGTTTTTGACAATGTACCAACCTTCTCCTACCTTCCCCACTGTAAGCACTACTGTTGGCTAACGTAACAGTCTTTCTCTGTAGGTAAACTCAGAGGGACGCTGGCTCGCATGGAGCCTTTCTTCTGCGCCCAGTGCAGAACCGACTTCACCCCACACTGGAAGCAAGAGAAGAGCGGGCGAATCCTCTGTGAGCAGTGCATGACGTCCAATCAGAAGAAAGCTCTGAAGGCGGAGCACACCAACAGGCTGAAGAACGCCTTTGTGAAAGCCCTGCAGCAGGAGCAGGTCAGCACTACTGCCCCTGTATTCCTTTTATTCTTTTATGTCGTTAAGAAGGATTGTTATTTTGGTATTTGAATTAAATGTTTCATATAATATTAGCATACAAAATATCATCATCATTCTACCACCCAGCCTACATGCTAGAGAAATTACATTTTTTGTATAGGATTTCTTTTACAGTAGTCTATGATTGTGCCTTTGAAGATGCAGTAGGTAACATTTTATGAAAATAACTTCAGGCCAGGTGGATTCTTGCAAATATGTTTATTTAAAAAAGTAATTTTTCTAAATGTTATATACTGTAGCTGTAATAATGGATATGAGAGAAAAGAACTGTGAAAGTGCAAACCATGAGTCATTTAAAGTAGCTTTTAGGACCATGAGCACTGCTGGCCTTTACAGTCACCATCTAACAGGGGCCGATGTAGACCTGGGATGCCAGGTGAATATGGCGACAGTCTGGAACCACTAACTTGGGCTCTTACACAATGCATTCTCTTAGTAAAAACACTCCTGAGCTCCATGTATTTCAGTAAACATATACAGGCAGAAAGCACTGTGCTGCTCACACAGCACATTGTGCTACAAGTGTCTTTAGTGCACCTTGGGTTTTTGTGTCTGGAGCCTGAGACTTACATTTTTAAAGCTTTTTCTCAGTTTTGATACTCTGCCAAAAAGTCATAAACTCAGTTGTCTAACAGCGATTTCAAACCACCATTGGCCACAAAGGAGTAGATGAATGTATGTGTATGAATGTACTAATCCATGTTAATTCCTAAATGTGCGTCCTGCCTCCATATCAGGAGATTGAACAGAGGCTGCAGCAGCAGGCGGCCCTCTCTCCCAGCTCGGCCCCTACAGGCCCCAACGCCTCCAAGACTGACTCCATGATCCGACATCATGCTCTCCGCCAGGTACACATGCCTTCACTTATGTTATAGTAGTAGTATGTTTGTCTGCCGGCAGGTTTGGAATAGAGATGCAACAATTAACTGTAATATATTAAATGTATATTTTTATAATAATAATTAATTAATCACTTACTATTTTGATAATACTTGATAATTTTCATTTGATGGGCAGTTGAGTAGTATATTAAATGTCCCTGCTCCTAACAAGTTAAGAGCCCACAAGGATTAAAGCTGCAGTAGGTAACTTTTATGAAAATAAGTTTTTGTCATATTTTCTGAAACTTCCTCTATATCCTGACAGTAGAACATGAGACAGATAATCTGTGAAAAAATCAGGTTCCTCTGGCTCCTCCTTGTTTTCATCCAGGCCTGATGGATTCTTGCCAATACCATTAGGAGCACTAGTAGGAGCCAGAGGAACCTGACTTTTTCACAGATTATCTGTCTCATGTAGTACTGTCTGTAGTAGTAGTAAAAGTTTCAGTACATTTGACAAAAAGTTACCTACTGCAGCTAAAATAGCCAAATTCACAGTGACATGAAACAAAGAAATACATCCTGTTTTTGAAACTCTGGTATATGTTTTTGATAATTGCTAATTAAATCCAGTAATGCACTACATCTGCTAACTGCCACTGTGTCATTTGTGCACTGTGTGGCAGTGATGGTGAAGTTAATGGGATGTCTGTAACTGTCCTCAGGCTCCCCAGCCTCAGGCCTCCCTGCAGCGAGGTCTGTCCAACTCGGCACGAGGCGTCCTGTCCAACTTCGCCCAGGCCTCCCAGCTGTCGGTGGCCAGCAGCCTCATGGGGATGACCAGTGCCAAGCACTGTGGCAGCGGCGGAGGCAGCGGCAGTAGCAATAGACTGCAGCATGACAGCCGTCGCCAGATCTACAACCTTCCAGGTACAGTATCTACTGTGTGTCTGATTCAGCTCATGTTTACCAGGGAGGTCCCCACTAAGTTTATTTGACTCTTCCTTAGTCCCACCCCTTTTTTGCTGCTCTGTGTTACAATAACAGTTGAGGATGCCTCGGACAACTTCCTCCTTTCCTGCACTTAGAAATGCTATTTGCTAAGATCATCTATGTTGAAAATACAACCACCTTTTGAAGATGGTTAAACGGTAAAAGAGACATACCCATAAAACTATATATTAATAATATTAATAACCCAGGCTTTTATTTCCTTCGGTCACTGAACTCAAACTCTACATGCCTCTACATGGGACAGGCCTTTAATTCCATTGCACAAAACTCTAAATTCTATCAGATTGTTTATTTAAACCAGCATAAATATTACTTTGTATATGTTTAGCCTATTGAATAACATATCAGTTACGAATCATTCATTCATCTGATCATTTGATACTTTATTATATTACATATTGTATTACAATATTCCATATTGACAAAAGTTTAAACATTTATATTTGTGCATGCGATCTAAGCAGATTGGAACTCACTCAAGTAGGTGACCCGTGAGGTTTTATACATCCAAAGAACTTCTTTAAAATCCAGACCAGGCCTCTAATTGAGACCTGTGTTTATTTGTCAAAACATGTAGCAACACCAGGCTAGTAAAGGAGACCCTGTTTTTATGTAAAGTTTTGCGGTGTATATATATTTACATCTTAAGTTAAGTAATGTTAGCAAAATGTTACTTATCTTACTAGCTAGCTACTCTACATCAATTGTTAATTTCTAGCTAGTTTGCTGGCTAGTTAGCTAGCAGACTTTTGCCGGCAACTGAATGGGGAGCTCAGGTTGCAGGCAACCTGGAGGGAAGTTAAACATTGTTCATTTGCATATACTGCCCATATTAATATTACACAAAGCTGGCTGAAATCAGCAAATTTTCCCTTCTTTTGTTAACCAAAACCCCCAGAAAAGTGGACCCGACTGGAATGAGTGAGAGCAGTATCTAGTTGGTATGGAAGCCCATTTCTGCCAATGTGACGGGGACAAAAACAGGATTCTGTAAGTCATATAAGGAAAAACCTTCTCAAAATAATGACTTGTGATACTAAGTCAATATTTTGAGAAAGGTCCTCATTATAATGATTTACAGAATCTTTTTTTTTTTTTTTAACATAGAGAAGGTATTAAGCAGATCAGAAAAGAGGGAGATGTATTACAATATGAAATAATGTAGAACTACCTTACCTTCCAGGGTACTCTTCATGTGTGTCTTGTTCCCACAGGGTTAAATATTGCCTATCTGAACCCAGCGGCAGTTGGAGCCCACAAGAGCTCCAGCTTAGCAGACCGGCAGAGAGAGTACCTGTTGGACATGATCCCACCTCGATCCATATCGCAGTCCATCACCGGACAGAAATGAGCCCCGCCTAGCCCTCCTGCCCCTCTGAAGCCACCCCCTCCCTCCCCATCCTGCCCTCCTACCCCATACTGAAGCACTCCCAGATCAACCAACATCCCCACCCCACCCCACCCCATCGCATGCAGTGCCTGTCCGTGTGCCTACCTTAAACCAACCCATGAAAACCCACCAAGTCGGACAAAGACACTAAACTGTCAGTGCATCTCAAATGTTCTTATTATAGTAAAAATCTTCTTCGTCAGCGTTGTTTAACAATTATAATTCCCATTATTATCGCTGTTGGTAGCACTATTATTATACCTGCAACTACCATTTTTGCTTCAGTTACTATTACTCATTATGCTTTTTTTCTTTTATAAGTGTTTGGTCCATTCTTTTTTGTTTCTCTGCTGTCTCCTCCTTTACTTTGGGGAGTGACGGTGAATCATTGTAGGGCCACTTTAGGCCACAATCATAGGATTTTTTTCCTCCACTCAATTATAAAGCTTAGATGTGACTATTGCTAGTAACAGAAGATCAACAGGGTGCATTCTGGTTGCTATGCAACATAAAGTTTAACGACTTTGAAGCTTTGTAAAAAGTGTTAGCTCGCTAACTTGAAGTAACAAAGTGGAAAATACTGATAGGAACAAAACCAGACAATATTAGGTTAGTGACTGCTCTGCTTGCTCTTGAAAAGAGGATGAAGAGCCCATTCTGGAAATGGAGAATGTGGAGGGAGGGGGGGGAGCTGAGCACCCACCTGTATCATCTCGTCAAAAGGGCCAGTTCCAAGTTCCGACACCGGCAGCACCCCTAAATTTTGAGGAGACCCCTCCCCCCCTGCTACCATCAGAGCTAATTAACTGGAAATGACTGACAAAAGGTGCAGACGTGTACAAAAGAGAATCCTATGTGATCAGAGTTTGGAAAAAAACGTTTCCTTTGCTAGTCTGCTCCCACCATTCCCCCATCAAAAGGTCATCGGTTTCTTCATTTCAGATGTCAGCCTCTCCTGTTACAGACTTTAACAGTCGCCAGGCGAATGAACACGGGACATACTGTAGTTGTACTAATCAGGACTGACAGACGCAGCAACGTCCCGACTGCACCTTCAGCGGACCGATAACGGACCCCAACCAGAGGATGATGTCCACAGATTCCCAGTATTCACAGGGGGGTTGACGGTCTCCTCTCAGAGAGAAGCCAGATGATTTTCCCCTCCTGGTTCCATCTCATTTCACTACCTGCAACTGACCCCTCCATGCCCCCCCTACCCTCCTCCTCAATACCTTTGGTTAACCAGTATGCACAGACTGAACCCTTTTTACCCAGCAGCTCCTCTTGGCATCACATGTTCTTTGAGAAAGTGAAAAGAACTCCGATCTGAAGGTGGAAGCACATTTTTTGTGTCCAAACCACAGATTCTGTACCTAGAAACCTAGAAATCTGGGTTCCTTCTCTTGTTATATTTGGGTTTATAGATTGTTTTCTGATTGTTGCCCCGCTCCCCAACCCACCCCACCCCCCTTCTTCTTTTCTCTCTCTTTTTTTTTTTTTGGTTTGTTTCTTTCTTTGTTTTTTTGCGGCGTCTCCCAATGAAATGGTGGCGTACCTGAGAGGTATTAGCCCCTGGAGACGATAATAATCAACATAGCTAACAGAAACTATTGAAATATCTGTATGGATTATGTATAGATACCTAGCTTCAGAGGAGAAAAAAAAAGGATGTGGATTATATCTTTTATGAGAGAGACATGGATCAATCATTGTGTGCATGCTCTGCACACAAGTTGCCTCACTCCAGAGGAGCACTTTGCATATTTCCAATTGGGAAAAACATTTTTTTTTTTTTTTTAAAGAGGAAAATAATGTTACAATTGAGAGTGGCTAAGGTCTGGATGCTGGCTGAGGGCCGACCAGAGAGTCAGGGGAGATGTCTCAAGTATTGTGGATTGCATCAAGGTGTGTTTCAATGGATGACTAATGGTTTAATTTACTTGCCAGTGTTGACCTCTGTAAATGTTGGACCTCAAGTGTCAAGTTTCCAAATCTCTGGTGCCCAGTGTGCTGGGGTTAGACCCAGCCTGTGTATAAGCTGCTGCTGGCCTGAGTACATGTACCAGCATCACTATAGGGTCTCACTGTCTGGAAAACCCCAGCAATAACTGAAGAACCATTAGTAAAGTTATTCTCCTTTTCAGTGCAGAGTCACCAAAGCAACACAACCTCATATTTATAAAGGCTGAACTAAACTAGAGGACCCGATCCAAAACAAATCCATCATCAGAGCTTATAGTGTTTGCTTGGATCCACTCTGGTACCAGCATCATCCCACAGTATATAAGATACGAACTCAACTGTGTCAGACCCACACTTACCAATCCAAATGAAGGCTTTCCTGTGATGGATGATCTAGTTCTGTTGACCTTCCGAAGGGAGCAGACATTGTGCAGACATCAGCAGGAATAATGGGAACAAGGGAGACAGGAAGATAGACCTCTGGGACTAACACAGAAATACACCTCGACTACAATCTAAAGAATCATCGGAATGGGTTTTAGTGAGCGCACTGTTGCACAACTCTAACAAGAAGGAAGTGTAAAGGTCAAGTCTAAGTCGTTTTTGGTAGTGGCCGTCGTCAGTCCATTTTGGCGTAACCGTAACAACACCTCCCTGGGTCCCACAGGAGTGATGGGCTCTAGGTTTGCAGTAGCCCAGACGTTTCAAGCAGTGTTCAGTCAGTGTGCAGTATTATTCGTAGAACATGTTGGCTCCTCACACGGACACGAGGCTGTGAAGTCAGTCTGGGTTTGAGATGAGAGAACCAGGCAGTTCACACGGGGCTCCGTGGCGTAGTTATGAATCCCAGTGCTTGTCTTGGCAAGTGCTAGGTTTGGTCAGGCACTTATTATTATTATTATTATTATTATTATTATTATTATTATTATCCTCAGTTTTCAGTCACAGTTGGTTAGGATTCTACAATAAAACTACATAAGGTTCAGGAAATGATCATGGCTTGGGTAATAACCCTTTAAATAATGTTAATTAGATGTTAGAAAGCATTTCTAGCAGAAAAGACAATAATCCTGACATTGCGTGAAAAGCAGTGGGATCCATAATGACACGGTTCTGAGCTGACCGGCCAACACCTTTCAGTCTGTTCAAACAGTTGACGAAGTGGGGGTTTACAAAGAAGTCTCAAATCATCTACTAAATCTATAAAGTCTTATTTGGAAACTTGCAAATTACAGTGCAAAGACTGTTTTAGTGACTTACTTTAGGATGGAGCCCATGGATCCAGGGTGTCTGCCAGGCAGGTCCCCATGAGCTGTTAATGGAGAAGATCTGGATTGTAGTGTGGTGAGACAACATAGCACAGGTTCCTCATGGACATGAGACCGACACTGATGCATAGGGTTGTGGGTGGTCCAACACACCTTCTGGTAGCCGTATCGGAGTGTTTCTAACAAAATGTTTATCCCTCAGTGTGCAGTTGATGTGTGAGTGGAACCGTCACTGATTACTTTGTGTTTGGTTATTATGTGCTCATTGGCTATCTAACCATATGTCTGGTTACATTACACTATTTACCTTTTAATCCTCTGTACAACCTTGTGCAGACATTTGGTTCCAAAAGGTCAGGTAGCTCGGTTTATGACCAGATACCTGGAGACCTAATGACACTCATCAGCTTCAGCAAATGTTAGCATGCTAACATGCTAAACTCAGATAGTGAACATGATAAACATTACGCGTGCTACTTCACTTGCTAACATTGTCATTGTGCGCATGTTAGCATCCTGACATTGGCATTTAGCTCAGTGCACTGCTAGCTAGCGAGGCTGTAGGCTCGTATTCTGCTGAGTGACGCTAAAATGTAAGATAAGCATGGAAAGCTAAGGAGGCAGTTAAAACCCTTTTGGAAAGTATCAATTGTTTAAAAAAAAGAAATAAAGATTTAGCGTCCCGCTAGGATTAAAATTGGAAAAAGACAGAAAAGCAGTTGGTATTGGAGCCGGCCCGTCGACGCCTTTATTGGTGACAGAGCTACGGTGTGAACTGAGGTGGAAGCTGGCAGTTTCTGTTGAATTAAGCTAGCTAACAAATCCCCTTCACCTCTCCTCCACTGGTTTTCATGGCTCAGTGTTATTCTGGATGCTAAGCTAACACATGATACTGGTAAAAATCTAAACTCTCAGTTTGAACAATATATTCATCCTTTTCTGGGTGATGAAGTGCTCAGTTTCTTTCTAGCTGAATGGGTTGTGACCAATGGAAGAAAGGCGTTATGGGAAAAATACATTGTTTAAGCTAATAGAGCACAGCTAGCTAGCTAGCTTAGGAAGAGGAAGGATTCAGTTCTCTCCTGAGCAGTGTTGGGTTAGTTACTCAAAAGAATGTATTTATTACTCATTACTCTTTTCAAAGGTAATATTATTACTTTACTTATTACTACCTGCCAACAGTAATTATTTACTAGTTATATTACTTTTCTGCTACTCAAACAAGACATAAAATTGGTAATTGTGTCTTTTCTTCCCAAACTAATGGAATATTTCCAGTTACTGAATGTTTCAAAACTTTCAAACTAGTTTCCAAAAATGAATCCAAGGATATGATTAGACTGTTGGATTTCAAATCAATAGAGGGTGACAATAAAAGGAAGGTTATAAAAAAAACCTCTTATTTATTATTTTCTAAATTAAATGTTATTACTGAAATGTATTGTACTAATTAGTTTTGGGGACAGTAATATTATTAGTAGTAATGTCTGAGTGGCCAACACTGCCCATGAGCTCCTCTTCAGAAGCAAAGAGCATTTAGGTCAAATCACAGTAATGTATACTTTGCAAACAATATCTGCCGTTTCAAACAGTTCACTCTCACCATAATGATATTAAATTGACCCTAAGACACACCCAAACACTGTCTCTCATTCTGTAGCCTTGACTTCAATAACCAACAGTCAGTCCTCCAGTGGTCGTCCTTGATGGAGCTCCACGCGGTTGAGAGATTGGTGGTTTAATCGCACAGCCTCTGCACGTCTCCCGTCACTGTTCATGTGAATGTGTGTCACTGTCCGTGGGTGCGCAGTGGGTGCGCAGTGGGTTCTCTCCAGCCAGTGTTGTGTTGACGCAAGGAAAATGTGTTTGAGGAATCCAGACCTGGCCCGTCACCGCATCAGAACCATCAACAGCCCAGTGAAATGGAAGACTATGAAACTACCTAGGATTAGATTCAGAAAACATCTTTTCTGTTTATTATATAAAAAAAACACAAATCAAGTTTCCCTTTGGTGGGAAAGTTCAAATTGGATGTAGAGATATATTTTCATGTGTTTTTAACGTCGGGGGACATTTTTACTGCCACTCACCATTTGATTTTTAGCGATGTTTTCGTCATGCATCTCCTTTTTTGCCGCCAAGCTGAAGTTTAAGAAAGAAAGAAAAAAAAAAAAAAAGCTCCTCTCTCTCTTCGCTCTTTTGCAGATGCATCCACACACCTTTGTATCTGGACGCAGATTCTTTTCAAATTTCGATTTCTAGATTTCAAAAGTCATTCTTTTTCTGACGTCTCAACTGAGTTCTGTTTTCTTTCTATCGCAGTTTAAAAAAAAAATAAACAAATGTATTGACTATGAAATAAATGACACGATATTTGCTAGGTTTGAAGTAATAATGACTTATTGTACATAAGCATTTTTTCCTCCCTTGTACTGAAAAAAGAAATTAAATGGTTGTATATTGTGTAGAAAAGCAAACAAAAAGCCATGAATATTGTGAAGCTTGTCATTTCGTTTTGTGATCACTGTGTATTATTGTGTAACAAATGTGCAAAATGTTTGGGATTCTTTTTTTTTTCCCTCCCCCTCCCTCCTCTGCTTCTTGAAGCGATCTCCCTGGATGCATTTGCTTTGGTTGTGGACTAGTTAGAGTTTGCAGGAAAGTGCTCACTGGTTCAGACAGACAGGGTCTGCAGTCAGCTACACATCTGAACATTTCTTTAGTTTTCTCTTGGGGTGATGAAGCTTGGGATAACTGATGGTTTCCTGAACTTGCTCTAGATAAAAGCACTTTGAATGTTTGACCTTGTGTGTTGGATTACATGGACAGAATTGAAGGCCCCTCCTGAACTAATGGTTGGATCCGGGTTGAGATTGGCTCTGGCCTCTCAGGACCAGTCTGGTGTTTTTGCATGTTCGCTACAAATCACATCTATCCCACATTACTGCTGACCACTTCCTGAAGTCCACATATTCAGGCATTGGCTTTCTATGAACCACTGGGGCTCGAATTTGCTGGACTGGACAGTAGGTGCTGCTCACAGCGCTGAAAGACAACATTTAAAAAGTAACCTCTTTCCAGCGTTGCTGTTCTCATACAGACTGTTTCTTACATAGAAAGGATGCAAGCAAGCATTCTGCCCATTCCCTCCCCGTTATGTCTTCTCCTGTCCTGCAGGTGAAAAGACGTTATTCTACTGACAGTAACAACTGAGAAATGTCTCCAAATGCCAGACCTGCCTTGCTTTGCTGTTGTTTTGTAAAAACCTGCTTTAATCTTCCTCTCAATTTAATTTGTTGACTCTGTCTCCATCCTTCTGGTGGGTGCAAGATGAATCCCTGGACCCGCCACGCTCCTGCGAGATTTGCGTTGGGTCCTGCGGAATCCCAATGCAGCCCTCTAAACCAACCTTTACGTTCCAGTGTCCTAGTGAAATGAGCGCAGCTTAGGCAAAAACACAGAACTATCAGAAATGGACAATGAGAAACAGTCAGCTGTGTGTTCGCGGTTTGTAGTAAATGTGTTTAAACACACAAAATCACTGCAGCCTGAGTTCTAAGAGGGTTCCACCAGGGTTCTCCAGCTGATTCTGAGGCCTGTTTTCTAAGAAGGTACCTCTGGATGTAACGCCTACTGTCGTGCAGAAACAGTCCGTTTTATACAGAGGTTAGTCACTAAATAGTCCATCCATGTATAATCTCTCACGAGTGGAAGCCTGGTCCGACCTTTTTGTTTTGTTAAATGTCCACAGCTGCTGACCCTGAATCAGTGATCACTTCTCCTGCCAACAGCATACAACTTGTACGGTCCTCTACTGTTCGGCTTTATCTTCTATTAGTTGTTGTCGCTAAACGCAGGGAAACATTTGATTGCAAAATCAGTTTGATCAATTTACCTGCAGAAGCGTTTCTTTTTGCATAATGTTTGACAATGTTGAAGCAAACACCCGGGGAAGCAGAAACAAGACAACGAAATCGAGACTAATTGAAGTCCATTTTGTTTTGCTTACATCAATCCTGACCTTTTGCACATACTTGATATTTAACGGTCTTCAAAAAAGTAAAAGAAAATAATGCTGTTTGAATACTGCCAGTTGATTGACAATTATGCATTGATTGAAAAAATAAGCTAATTTTGGAGGAAATAACTTTGTAATATTTATCTCTTGCAAGCTATGTTTAATAAAGGTTGAAACAATTTGCTTCCAAGTGTGACTTCATTAACCTTTTTATGATGGGAGCGGAAGGCTGAGCCGTTCTGTCAACTGTTGTCTCATTACACCGTCAGCTTCTCTCCGTCAGCTCTTTATTTAACTTCACTTATTTCATTTCTACTCAGTGCTGGAGCTCATGAACAACTTCATCCAAATCTCTCTCTCTGCTTGAAGCTACTACTCTGACTCTACCTGAAATGGAGCTAAGTGAGCCTATAACGCTGACAACAAGTCTGTCTTCCTTTTAAATAACACATTTCAATTAGTGCAGCTTCTTTTTTTTACCTCTGATGGAGCTACTAATACCAAACTAGCCGTTTCCCCCTCAATCTGAATCATCTTTCATTCTAATTAGATTTTGAACATGAACCGGTCTCAGCCTGTGAAAACCGATTTGTGCTTCTAGACGAGCTCAGACTGGGCTTGAGACCTTGAAAGAAATTTTAACAGAAAACCTGCAGAGCAACAAACTGGAGGTTGGGTTTGAAAGAAGTGAGCATTGGGTTCTGATGAAAAAAAGCTAATGGTTGCATTGTGGGAAATGTAGGATCCAGTATTTTTTGGAGCTTAAAGCTACAGTAGGTAGTTTTTATATAAATATACTTTGTGTCATATTTGCTGAAACTTTCACTATCCTGACAGTAGTACACAAGACAGATAATTTGTGAACAAATCAGGTTCCTCTGGTTCGTCCTAGTGCTCCTAATGGTATTTTTAAGAATCTACCGGACCTAAGCGAACCACCAACAACCAATCAGAGCTGAGAGAGATAGCTGATTGTTGAGGCTCAGGATATCTTCAGATAGATTTTGACCAATCTTGTCAGTCGCCCAACTTTATGAAAGTGCAGTAGGAAATGGCTGGAGCTCACTCTAACGCTGTAAATATTTTATATTCATACAACAGAATAAGGTTCCACAGTTGTTTCCATCGGGCTGTAAATGTTGAACTGTGATACAGGTCTTGAAGTTAACAGCTTCAAATTCATTTTGAAAGTTCAGTTTTGAAGTTCATTCTTGTGCTTGGTAATGAGAACATCAAATTCACTACAAGGTGTGTGGATCCTACACCAACCACTAGGTGGCAGGGCAAGGCAATGATACATTTTATTCCAGGAGTCAGAGGCCTGAAGGAGTCAGTTGTGTTGAAAGCCACTTGTTTCCTCTTGACTCACAGAGCTTTCTGAATGTTGAAACCTCCAGTGAAACCAGGGTTAATAAGATCTGGAGCAGGGCAACCCAATTCATTTTTTACATTTTTTAAAATGCTGCTACAAATACCACTGTGGCCTCTTGTTTGTTTCTTTGGCTACGTTCACACTGCAGGCCTTAGCACTCAATTCTAACTTACTGCTCAGGTCTGATTATTTAGATTAGCATTATTTAACATTTAACATTATTTTTTAAATGTGGCCGTTATCAGATTCCAGTGTGAACAGGTACGGAACTGACCTGCATGCCCCAAAGAACAATAACACATCATATAACGTCAGCACCCTGTCAGAATGAAGTAAACATGGAGGCCACTGAAGACAGTGTGTACAGTTTTATTTAAAGGCTGGATGTGCATTAGAAGCCGGTTCGTTTGTGAGCAGATGAGGAGAAAGCAGGACAATGTGGAGCAACACACATTATTGTTCCAAGCTGAGTCTTAATATATGTCTGGAAGGAATCTTTTAGTCAAAGCTGCAGTAGGTAACTTTTATAAAAGTAATTTTTTGTCACATTTGCTGAAACTTTCACTATATCCTGACAGTAGAACATGAGACAGATAATCAGTGAAACAATCAGGTTCCTCTGGCTCCTCCTAGTACTCCTAATGGGATTTGCAAGAATCCACCGGGCCTGAACGAAAACAACCAATCAGAGCTGAGAAAGATATAAAGACACTTTGGGTTGGAAGCTTAAAGACAGTTCATTGTTGAGTCTCATTCCCAGGGTCCCAAAGCATCTGTATTTGACCCCCTAACAGTCAACTATCTTCCTTTGCTCTGATTGGTTGTTTTCATTCAGATTTTGTTTCCCCATCTCATCAGTTTTCACTCATGACAAAGTGAAAACAGGATGTTGTGAAAAGAAAGTCTGGTGTTAAATAGCTTTATCGATAAATCCTTACAGCCATAGGTTTGAATGAATGACAAGTGCATGTGTTACCGGAGTACAACTGGACAGCCTTAACCTCCACATCTCCTGGAGGATACCCTCCCACACTAACTCAAACACACTGCTGACCGGCGGGTTGCAACCCTGGACAGTACTAAACATGGCACTACTGTGCTGCAGTTTGAATTCAGTAAATGCCATTGCTGCCTCAGCAGCCCTCAAGTGGCTCCCACACACACATACATTTTCCAAAAAGTGATTCAAACACAGCTGATATCATGTGGGCTGCAAAAGGGCTGAAAGCAGCACTCCCATTGTCCTTCCTGCACACAGGGTCAGGGTATCAGGGGTCAGCCGTTTCTTGACAAACGGAACTGAAAGTCTTTAAATTATAAAAGTAGAGATCTCCCCCTCCCAAATCTTTTTTCTGTCTCAGTTGGACAGCTGTCCTGTGTTGCAAGTCCACTCGGATTCTCACAACTGAAGCTGTACAGCACACACACAGTCACAGACAGACACACACATCTACTAACTAACTAACAGGATGATATTATTATTATTAAAAACATGGCTTCCAACAAGTGCTAGCGAGCTGCACACAGGCTCACAGCTGCTGTCGGCCATTTCTACATTCATACACACCATCCTGACTGAGTTTATTCACACTAACCCAAAAGAGGTTATTGATTTTTACAAGCACACCCTTTAATAGCTAAAGTTGAGATTAGTTGAGTTGAGGTGAGTTATGAAAGAACAAAATGCATTGCAGAAGGACACACAGATGTCAGAAAGAGTCCATATATACATCTAGAACAACACTGGCAGATTCATGTTGGACATTTAGATAGCAGCTATATAGATAGAAAAACAGGTGCTGACATGCGTATGAATTAATGATCCGTTGTTTTTACTGGAAGATCTGTAACTGTGTTAAGTTGTTTGATGTGATTTTGAGTTATATCCCCCCCCCCAGTCGGTTGATTAACAAAGCCATTACTTAGGTAGCAACTTATACAGGAAGGGTGTACTTGCAAAACTCAGTGTCTGTTCCTCTGGTTATATAACCGTGGAACCAGGAGTTACAAGATTTCAACTTGATTGGGATAATGAATAAAATCTTAATATAACACAATTCTGCTCCTCTGTTTAAGTTTATTTATTACAATTATAAAATCATCATCTGTTTATTATTGAAGGCGGAAGTTGTGTTATTTTTAAATGCGTGTGGAAATGTTCTTTGCAGCTCTTTAGCCGCTACTTTTGGAATGGTTGTGTATGGGAAGTCTTTCTGGGCCACGTGTCATGAGACCACTGAGTCAGATCAGATCCACAGCTGGTCTCATCTGATTCTCAGTACAGGAAGCAAGTGATTTTCAAAATGGTCAACTGTTCCTTTATCAATTCCTTTCTCTGCATTTGTGTCCAAACAATGTATGGTTTACAGATCAAGGCAGGGACAGACATGCAGTCTGGGATAACTCCAGGTGCCATACACAGCAGCCATTAAACATCTTCAAGTTGTGCGTCTTTACTGTGTTTCCAGTTAAACATGTTGATGAAGGCTCTGTACACTTTGGAGCCTTGCAGAAACACAAACAGCTGCACCTCTGTGTCTCTCTGTGTGTGCAGCACGAAAACACATTACACAACACAAAGGCTGATCATGTGACCTGCTGAAGTGTGTCTGCAAACAGCATGTCTGAGGATGGCGGTGTTCCTTCGGTACAGTGTGTGACAGTAGGCGGGCTCTGCACTCAGAGGAACACAGTTGAATGTGTGGAACGTGACGTTCTGTGACTGTTTACCCTCAGATCTGCATCAAGGACAACCACGCAACGGCTGGAAGACATCGCACATTCAGAGGACACCGCAGAGTTATAGTGTTTTTAACTCCACTGTGGGCTCCCACAAGCATGTCAAGAACCACAGCCTGCCTGAATGAAATGTACCCAGAAGCACTGTGTGAATGAGGCTGCAGCTGTCACCACTGACTCTGTCTCTTCTCCGTTGGGTTTTGGCTTTGTTTGTGCACCTTTGAGTGAACCTGTGTGCATCTAGTAGTTCTATTTCATACATAGTAGGCTATCTAACAGGCTTTTACCACAACTCACAGATCTTTGCACTAGGGATGTGCATCTCTACCACTGAGGCTAAGGTGATATGTACCTCGATACATAGCCTATAATCCGATACATTAAAGATACATATGACATAATTATGATAGGATTCACCCCTATTGGGATGCAGTGTAGGACTGCTGTTTGAGGGGCGAAAAATGTTTCTGCTCGTTCCTCATGTCTATAAAATAAAGCATAAGGCCTCTACATATAAATATATCAGAGTTTACAGATTCAAAGTTAGAAACAATGCATCCCAAGTTCATCCCAAACTGTATCCGGTCCTTTTATGCTGGTGCACTGACACATGTGTGAATCAAATGGCATGCCCTATAAAACAGTGCTGCACCTGTCACTCGGCTCCATTGTTCCCTCCTTAAGTACACAGCACTCAGCGAAACCTCCTGTTGTAGTCTTTCATTACCTGTTTCAGCCTGCTGACTCCCTCCACTTTAACCAGCACAGGAGGATATGACTGGATACCCCAAGTACCACACCATTATTCTTAGTCTTTGAAAGGCTATACCGGGCTTTGTTTTAAATCTGTCAAGAGCCAACCATGTAATGCTAACTTCTCAGGAAGTGGGCTAAAAAACACTCCAAAATGAGGCTGAATGTTAGCAAAAGGACATCTGACCTCTGATCTCAGGATATCTGAATAAAGTTTCTCAGATGAGCACACAGTGGCCCCACTGCGTCGGCTACAATCCCCTTCTTAACTGATGTCAACCGCTCTAGGACAGCCACACAACGGGACTTATTTAG